AATGTACTACAGAAATGTCATCATAAGACTGTCACATGAAAGACCAGAACCGCAAGGTGATCAGCACAACTGGAATATAGAATTAAAGTAGAACTATGGGGTTAGGGCTTTTCCCCATAGTTCTCCTAAGGGTAACGGGAGGACACAAACTAGCATCCTCCCGTCACCCAGAGCTCAGTATCCCGCGAGCTACAGCCCCCGGTATACTGAGACGCCGGGACGGATCCCGACATTCCTGTCTGGATCCGCCCAGCTGCGTGAGTGACAGCTGGCTCTGCCTATCTAGAGGCAGAGCCAGCTGTACCCGCCCCCTCCCCCGTCCGTTCCGCCTCTCTGCAGGGAGAGATCGAGAAGTGAGCAAGCGACGCTATGTGTTCGCTCACTTCCCGATCTATTTAGATGACCTGTGGCAGTCTCATTGTCACAGGTCGGCTAGAACTATGAGTTTGAGTGATTTTCACTCGCCTCATAGTTCTCCTTTAAATCCTTTATTGAAAACAATGCAGGGCAGGTACAAAAACTACACTCCTCCTGGATGACACGCTTCAACCACTCGCGTCTTTATGTGAAGATTGGGAGGGTCGGGCAGCAGGACAAGTGTGTAGAAGAGTCATAACTGGCTAAAAGTTTTCCATTTTTTTTCCCCCCAGGTTTAGGGTGGAGAAGGGTTTAAACTTTTGTCAGCTTTGTTGCTGCCTTTGTCCCTGTTGAAGTGATTTTTCTCACTTTCTGCCTATTTGGTTTCATAACAGAAAATGAGAAGAAATTTGAGGCTCCGGCTTCTACTCCATGACAGCTGGGATAGTGTTTCACTAGTAAGTGGACTCAGTGGCACCTGTGGGAACCCTGGGCTTGATCAGCTCTTGGGCTCCTCATACTTCTATAGCTTGTTTCACAGGAACGCACTGTAGACATCAATGTAAATACTTTGCTTCTGCAAAGTGTTTACTTCAGGAGTGCAGCGAGGTCACGAGGGACTTCACGGCCGAAAGTGTTAGGGCCCTGTTCACACTGAGCAGTTTATCTAGTTATTTCTGGCGCCAAATCGCGCTTATTTTGGCGCGATATCGCTCTATGTAGCTTGTCGAATGCATTTCAATGCAACTGTTCACATCTCAAAGCTCAATGTCGCTCAAGCTTTTCGCTCATACATGACCCTTTTTTTTCCACGGATGTCGCGTGATTCGGCTCCAATAGACTCTATGGTTTCGCGCAAAATCGCGCATTACCGGCGATATTGCACGACATCGCGCTACAGAAGGGTCACTTTTGCACTGCAAAATGGAAGGAAAGAATGCTGTCACATCAAGATCGCTGTTGATTGGTTACAGCCCAATGTAGCAGTGACGAAGTCCCGCCCAAAAAACACGCTATGTAGCACGATTAAATGCGCTCTGTCGCTTAATAGCGCGCAATGTAGCTCAAAGCCGCTCAGCGCGGAAAAAAGTGCAATATCCATGTCGCTCAGTGTGAATGGGGTCTTACAGATCTCTCCAGTGTCTCACTGTAGCAATAGATCGCTGCTGTAGTAATTTATTACTGGAAATAGATCAATATTGGATCAATGTTGGAAACAAAAAGGTCAACAAAAGTGATCTTGCACAGCTGCCTGGATCAGGACTCCACTGACCAGATCCAGAACCACCCTAAAGAAAAAAAGAAATGACAAATAACTGAAAGGTTAAAAAAAAAAAAAAAATTCCCATCATGGTATCTAATTGTTAACCCGATTTAATCTTATCATAATGTTAAAGTAACAATTTAAAACTTTTTTTTTTTACCTTATGCATGTTTGCAATGTAGCATTGGAAAAGGAATAAAGCTCTCCCAATGTAAAACGCATACAGTCACTTTTTACATTCCATTCCATTACGTTACATAAAAATTAAACTAATGAGATATAATTGAGTCAGCCAACTTTTTTGATTATATTTTGGGCTAAATAAATGGTAAGTAAATGGCGTGTGCGAATTACATAAATGTTGTGTTGGGAAAAATTGCAGGAAAGTGCTTTTTTTCCTTAAATTTTTTAAACAAATTTCTCCCAATAAAAAAACCCAAGGAAATAAAATACATGTATCCAAATCTGCTAGTAAATGAAAGCCCTACCTCCCCCATAAAAAATGATGTATTATGTAGACTACAAAACCTAAAATATATAATGTGTGGAACCAAAACATCGCCGAAACAAAAAGAAAACACTTTGGGACTCCGAAGATTAGGGAGAACAATGTCTCTTAAGTGGTTAAATTGGACTGACTGACTTGTAAGTAGCACCTTAAACTTTCCACCCATCAGTTGATAATACTTCTCCTGTAAAACAGAGATAACGGGTTTGGGATTCTTTGGCAGAGTTCAGAGACAGCAGAATCAAGTTAACGCCCAACATGCGGTTGTCAAAACCAGATAAATGAAGCCAGGAGAGCTTTTGTATGTTTACACCCAAGTTTAATGGGACTTGAAGAGTTATACATCCTATTAACTCCACCCGGTTTTCTCTAAGTATAGAAATGTAATAGAAGAGGAGGTTGTTATATAAGGTGATCATGTTGCATCCAGAGAAGCCAGTCGGTTGGGTTTCTTGCTTTAGTGGCAGTCATGATCATGACTGCTGTGGTATCAGGGAGGTCTTGGGAAAAAGACTTCTATTATTTTTTCCTCACCAACATCGTGTTGGGTGTTACCATTGGTGGGTTTAATCATTGAGGGAAAGTTGGCTGCTACTGCTATAGATGTTGAACAGGGGTGTCCAAATTAATATGGAATTCAGGAGCCAGCAGGATTTTTTTAGGAGGTAGTTCCATTGACACAACTAGAGAAAACCTCAAAAGTTAATCATTTTTCGGGAGCATTGGCTACCTGGCTCCTGGGATTTGTCCAGCCCTGATTTAGAGTACCGTATCTGCCGGCATATAAGACGACTCGGCGAATAAGACGACCCCCCCCACTTTTTGTGTTAAAATATAGGTTTTGGGCTATACTTGTCGTATAAGACGAGTATAGGCCAAAATAATGTTTAAATGCACCCACTAACCTCCACGGCGGTATTCCAGAGTGTGGCTCGGGGTTAATTTTCAGTACCATAAGCGGTAACCCCACACTCGGGATTACAGTCTCTTACCTTGCCCACGATCCCTGCAGTGTCCTCCATCTTCCGGGTTCCATCCTTCAGCCGCTGAGCCTATCACAGCAGGCTTTGTATTCATTAATACAAAGCCGTCCGTGATTGGCTCAGCACTGAGCCAATCACAGCAAGCTTTGTATTCATTAATCCAGGCTGTGTATTAATGAATACAAAGCCTGCCGTGATTGGCTCAGCGCGGTATACTGTATGTAGTCGAAGCTACATACAGTATACCCGGCATATAGGACGCCCCCCGATTTTCGGGCGATGTTTTTGGGTCTAAAAAGCCGTCTTATACGCCGGCAAATACGGTATGTCTTTTCCACAGGCTATATAATTTAGGAGGTGAGAAGTACATCTTGGCAGACTGCTTACTTTTAGGAGGCAAAAAAATGTCCTTGTTCGATTCATTCAAAAGAATGAAGGCTGAATTGTGATTGGTTATTGTGCGCAATGGCTTCCTTTTTCATCCAGATCTTGTTACTCTGTTCGCTGGTTCTAATTTTTAAAGGAAATACACACTTTTTTTTAGCTAATAGTGAATACTTCACCATCACACCTACACTGTATGGCCAAAGGTATGTGGACATCTTGCCAAATCATTAAGTTCAGGTGATTCCAGTGACAGGTACAGTTAGTACCACAGCATACAAAGACATTTTAGACAGCATTGTGCTTATGGCAGCAGTTTGGGGAGGCCCTTTTTGTTTTCTTACCCAGCATGATTGCGCCCCCGTGCACAAAGCCAGCTCCATAAGGACATGATTTGATGGCTTTGGTATGGAGGAACTCAAGTGGTCTACAAAGAGCCCTGACCTCAACCCTTGAGCGCTTGAAATGAACTGAAACACAGATTGTGAACCAGTTCTTTTTGTTCAACATTAGTACCTGACCTCACAAATCCTCTTTTGGCTGGATGACGCAAATTCCTACAGACTGAAAAATCTTGTCGAAAGCCTTCCTAGTCATAGCTGTCATAGCTGCAAAGGGGGTACCGACTCCATGTCAATGCCCATGGGTTTGGAATGCGATGTCCAACCTGCTCTGTTATGGTCAGGTATCCATAAACCTTTGGCCATGTAGTGTATGGGGTCTTGTATATATTCCTTTCTGTGAAAGAGCTAAAAAAAAAAAAAAAAAAAAAAAAAAGTAGTGTAAATATGAAAGATAGCATATGAATATTTCAGTATGGATTCTGTATGATCTTTGACCTGAAGTATTTCTTTATTTGTGGTGTGGGCAACAGAAGGGGTGAGTATTCTTTTTCCTTTGCTGGGGGAAGTGTATTTTGTATCTTTCTTTTAGGGACAATCTCTTTATTCTGCCACAAACCTGTGTAATTAATATATGTATGGTTTTAAAGGGTTGAATTGGGATGCCTAGGTCTTGGTATTCTATGTAAAGAAGAATGCAGGAGGAGTAAGACGTTTTGTAGTGAGGACATCCAGCATGGATACCCTACCGCAGTTGGGGATTCGGCCCACTGAAGTTAGCGGACCCATGATACCTTCTGTTGCTTCGGGAAGAAGCTCCGTCTCCTGAGCTCTTCATTGGCACACAGGTAGTACAAAATAGATTTCCAGGTTCAAGAGGAATAATGCCCGACAGTTGAAGTTCTAGGGATATTGCAGATATATTGCATCTTGGCTCAAAGGAATAATATTTAAAATTGGAAGAGTCAGATCCCTGCTGCCATTTAAAGAGGAAAACATAACAAAGGACCTGTCTGAACTGATTGTCTAAATGTGATGTGTCCTGTCAGCATTTAATGCATGTATTGGCTTTTCTTGCATAAGTAAACTCCTCTTCTGTCATTGTGATGAAATGATGACGCTTTGACATTTAACATGCCTGTTAAACTCTTTTCCCTCCCCAGCCATCACAATGCCTTCTTCCTGGGTTCCCACCATTGGCCTCACACTGTTGCCTCACGTAGGTGGTATACTAGGAGGCTTCATCACACGGAAAGAAGTTAAAACATGGTATACAACACTGGTGAAGCCATCATGGCGCCCGCCTAACTGGCTGTTTGGACCTGTCTGGACGACGTTATATACTTCCATGGGGTATGTGACATAACAAGTAGTCTGCTTTATCCATCCTTTACAATTCCTTCCAATGTCTTCATGTACAGCGCCTTCAGCTTTGGATGCATTTACACCTGTGCGTTTGAATATATGTATCCTTAAAAGTAGGTCCAAATAAAATCCATAAAATCTAATATAAGATTTGACTTGATTGCAGTAAAATAATACCTGGTAATCTTGCCAAGAAGGTCTTTGTTCAGCCACTTCCTCTTATGCGGTGATAGGCGTCTTCTAATTTTCTATATAGCTACAAACACAAACTTGCCTGTCTCAATTATTTGACTTTCTTTTTGGGTTTTTTTGTAGGTACGGTTCATATTTGATATATAAGGAACTGGGTGGTTTCACTGAAGACTCTGTTGTTCCATTAGGACTTTATGCTGGGCAGCTTGCACTTAATTGGTCTTGGACACCCATCTTCTTTGGTGCTCACAAAATTGGTTGGGTAGGTAAAACAAATATGTCAACAAAAGCTAACTATTGACTGGTAGAGATATCTCCAAAGAGCAACTGGTGACAAGAACTCTGCCCCTCCTTTGTAGCTTCCTACACAATTTGTGCACATGGTTTATGTTCCCTTTTACTCTTTCAGAAGATAATGATCTGCTCTGTAAGCACAGACATTGCCCAACAAGCTGAAAAATTATCTGGGAGTGATGACAAGCACGGTCATTGGCTGGACGCTTTGGGTATTGCTCCTTAGTGTAGCTCTAAATGGCACGTGGACAATACACAAACTAGAGAGTGGAATTGCGACACATTTATTACACAGCACTGCGTCATCATGAAAAATCTGTTTCCTTTTAACAAAACAAATGCAAAAGGCGGCACATTTATAGATCCAATGACTGCGACTTTATTGATAAATGTCCCCCATTGACTTTTCACTTGTGCATTATATTGCCGTGGTGCCAATGAAGCTTGTCTAACAGAATGGCAATCATACAGCTGTTGTTACATATAAGGCCCCGTTCACACTGAGCTATTTATGGCGCGGTAATTCCCGCGATATCGTGGCTATTTACCACGCGATATCGCTCTCCAATGCATGTGTCTGTAGCTGTCGCGGGTCGTGCCTCGCTACAGCAGGACCCTTTTTGGAGCGGATTTTGCTGCGATTCTAGCTTGCTCAATGCAAACATTTGCGCAGTATCGCGCAAAATGCAAATCGCGCAACAAACGCGCGATTTGTGAATCGCTCAATGTTAATGGGGCCTAAAGAATTAATCACCCGTTTCCTTCTCCCTGCAGGGCCTTGTGACTATAGCAGCCCTCACTGGTACAGTGGTCCTCACAACAATCTCCTGGTACCCAATTAGCAAGACAGCGGCCTGCCTGATGCTCCCATATATAGCCTGGCTGTCCCTGGCCACTTCCCTGAACTATGTCATATGGAGGGACAACAAGGACAAGTCGGACAAGTCGGAATAGAAGGACCCTGATGGGATGAGCTGCATTAGATGGGAAATGAAGATAACGGCAATGTTACCGTTTTACATCGCAATGAAGGTCTCTTTGGGAGTCACAAACCAGCAAAACACTAGAAAAGCTTCTTTGTATTTTTCATACAAGAAAATATTAATGCCTTATCTTTGTATGTACACCAGTAGGAGGAACAATAAAGGAGTTCTTTTTGTTTCTATAAATTTGGGAAATACCATGAAAGTGTTTGGGCTGGTTGTTTTGTGTGCTGCAGGGCAATCCGAGTTAAAGCCCAACTCCAGTGTTCTTTAAAGGCTTCAACATAGCTACTAGAAGCTTGCCGAAAACCTTACAAATGCTTCACAAAAAGCTTGCTGTACACGCTGCTCTTCTACAAGCTGAAGCCCGTGTGGAGAAGGCCTTATGGTCAACTACAAAATTCTTACCCCTGCAAAATATATTGACCACCTTCGCACCTACAATTTGTATATTAACAGTCCCTGACACGATACTCCATGCCAAGGACACGTTAACCCCTTCGTGACTGACGACGTACAGTGTACGTCGCCAGCATCGGGGCTGTTTAAACAGACTCCCGGCGACTTTTGCCGCCGGGACTCTGTTTAAACTTGTAGAGCCGACTGTCGGCTTTACAACAGAAGCGATCCTGGCGACTTACCTGTCGCCAGATCGCTTCTGCGTCCCGAAGAAGGGGCCGCCCCCCCCGCCGGACACCCCCGCCGTGCTTCCCGGGCTCCGTTGCCCCTCCTACGGGCCCGGGACCGGCGATCTTTGTGTCCGCGGGGAGCTGGGGAGGAGGTCGACGAACTTCCGTTCATCGATCCCCTCCCCGTTCTATGGGACCGGGAGCGATGCAGATTGCATCACTTCCGGTCCCTGGGCTGTCAGTTCTGGGCTCCTGCAGCCCAGCTATAAGCTATTGAAGTGCGATCTGCACTTCAATAGCTTATTTCCAGTGTAAAGGTGACACTGAGGGTCTTTTGGACCCCCAGCATCACCTTAAAGAGGACCTGTCACCACCATCTGCTATTACATGGGGGGGCTTGCAAGCCCCCCCATGTGATAGCAGTCAAAGTAAAAAAAAAAAAAAACAGTTTTTAAAATTAAAATGAAATAAAATAAATCTAATAATAATTAAAAAAAAATTTAAAAGTACCCCGCCCCCGCGAGCACGCGCGTCGCCACGTAAACACGCGTCGGGTGCGCCTACGCATGAAAACGACGAACGCGCTACACATGTTGGGTATCGCCGCGCACGCCGGAGTGAGAGCAATAATCCTAGGGCCAGTATTTTGGGGTATTTCTAAATTGATGACCTGTGGGGGCTTTTAAAGTGTCTTTTATTGACTTTTTGGGGTACTGCAGTTTTTCGCCGTTTCACGGTCGCACGCAATCTGTAAACTGGGCATGTTGGGTATCGTTTTACTCGTTGTAACCTCATCTTTTATATTTCATTTAAAAAATGGGTAATTTGTTGTGTTTTGGGGCATTTAATTAAATTTGTCACTAAATTTTGGGGTTTAATAAGGAGTTGCGCTAATATTGCGCAACATAAAAATTTTCAACTACCACCATTTTATTCTATAGGGTCTTGGCATTCAGAAAATATATAATGTTGGGGGGTTTTACGTCATTTTCAGGCCTAAAATGTGGAATATAACATGGGTGCAAAAATTGAAAAAAGGGCCTCAGTCATGAAGGGGTTAATAAATGTTCTTCCCTTCAAAAGCAGTCAAATGCAGTTTTACCAGCTAATTACACCTTAGAAAACATAAGGAAGCAAAACCTTTTTAATAGGGATGTCCCGATCCCAATACTAGTATCGGCGGCTGCTGATCCCAGGCATTTTCACAAGTACTTGTACTCCGGAAGATGCCCCTATTAAGGCAGATACAGGCCCTTTATATTTTCGAACTGCAGCGGCTGGCCAAGTTCCCGTGCTTGTGGGGACCTCGGCAGCCTGCTGGGGACCTGCATGTAGCTGTCCATGGCAGTGCCTGTCCGGTTGAGAATCTAATTCTCCTTCCTGGCGCACGTACAGCCATGGATAGCCCCACACAGCACAGTACAGCCCCCGACACCAGCACACTCCACAGCATAGGAACTGCCCGCAGAGCCCTGCAGCAAGCCACATGTCGCCTAGGTAAGATCGGCACGCAGCCTGGTGAGATGAATTCTGCTGTGGGGACATGTATTTTATTTCTGGTGACATCTTTATTTAGCTCTGGGGAGAAACTGCCCTAAAATCATCAATCTGTGTTTAAAAAAAAAAAAAAAAAAAAGTCACATGTCCCTTTAAGAAAAAGTATCGGTAATTGGTTTAGACAAGTACCTGAGGGAAAGTATTTGTACTTGGTCTTAAAGTGGCATTGGGACATCCCTACTTTCTAATTACTTTATTCATGGGGCAGTTCCATGTTTCACTTGAAGACTTCATTGGTGAGATTTCCTTGCACTGTGTCTGCCCCTCCTACAAGTCTCAAATTAAAGGCCTGTTCCACCAAAGCTAATCAGTTTTGCTTGGCTGGTGGCAAGGTGAATCACACAATGACCTGTATGACTACAGAACTCCAGTAATAAGATCTCCTGTGTTTCCTCAACTGATATAGCCATTGCAAGACTAAATTATGGCATCATGCGTCTCTGACAGACACTTTACTATGTCTGAAACTCTAGGCAAACCACAAAATACACAACTGAAATCTATGTTTATTGTTTTACCTGCCAAATGATTTGGAATGCTGTACAGGCAGTCACCTGTCTGGCTGTGCAATGTGGAAAGCATGTGCAAATCACATGTAGTTTTTGGTTAAGCAAATCTTTCTGGTTCAACATCTCTTGTTCCTCTGTCACCTCTCCAGCTTCTTATTGGACAGTGAATCTGTATCATCATCTCTGTCCAATAACAAGAGAAGTGACCCAGGAAGTCAGAAAGATCTGTACACTGAAAATCATTGTGTAATAATCACATACTGTTAACAGAATACAATAGTTTTCAATGAAAGTGGTCCTTTTAATTACCTAAGTCCCAGGTAGCACGGGCATCGCCCATAGTGAGGTGGTAGCTCATTGAGGGTGTGCGGGTGGAGGGCAGCACACCCACCTAAAGCCCCGTTCACATTGAGCGATTTATCGCGCGGTAATTCCCGCGATGTCGTGGCAAATTACCGCGCGATATCGCTCTTCAATGCATTTCAATGGGGCAAAGGGTCATGCTGTCGCGGGTCGTGTGTCGCTACAGCAGGACCCTTCTTGGAGCGGATTTAGCCGCGATTTAAGCTTGCTCAATGCAAGCTTGAACGCGATATCGCGCAATATGCAAAACGCGTGACAAATGTGCGATTTGCATATCGCGGAGTGTGAATGGGGCCTAACAGCTTGGCTGCCCGCTGCTCCCCCCTTCTACTGGCCGCCTCAGGAGGCGAATAAGGTAGAGACGGCCCTGCCAATAGTATTTGACTAATCAATTTTAAAGCATGTGCCAGCCAGCTTCTGTGCTGGGCAGCCAAGTTCCAACACTAAGCCCAGCAGTTTATTCGATCAGCTCCTAAACTCCTGCTTCTGCTACACAGTAAGGTGCTCTCTAGCAGGCAGTGTAAACACAATGTGGGGAATTTATCATAGCAATTATGAGTATTTGAACTCTCATATGGTCGCATGGGATATATTTGCACCAGGTTTATGTTGCTAGTGTAATGTTCATAAATGAGATTAAATAGACTCCAGTAAAGAAGACTCGTAACTACAGGCAAAAAGCTTAACTGTCGCTTTTCATGGGGACTTCTTAAGTAGCGATTTTGTTTTGTTTGGTAATGCTCCAGTTTCATACAACCGCAGGACAAGTGCAGAAATGGTTATAATAGAAAATGGTTCAATAATAGAAATAATAGAAAATGGTTCAAGCTCTGGTTAAAACAGGCGCACAAATATATGTATTTCTTTGTGCATAATTGTATTACAAACCCTTGAAGACATATGGGGGGGAAAAAAATGCAATAAAATAGGTTTAAAAAAAAAAACAGGCGCACATATTAAAAGGAGCAGCTAAACAGATTTGCACATAAAAAATGATCTAAAGAGGCTACAACAGTTGCAATTGCGTTGATAAATTTCCTCTGTTGTTTTTACAAGGGATGTGATATGTCACTTGAGCAGAGTTGTCTTTTCTCCCCCCTGTAGTCATATTTTGCTATTAGAAGTGATCTTTTGCTATAGAGCTGCATGGAGAAGGGAGAAAAGGGTAGGTCAGGTCCATACCTGGAGAAGAAAATGGGATAATATATTTATTTAATTTCTTTTTTAAATCTGAAAAAATATTCTCTCTTCCCAACGTAAATGTCAAATTTATATGTGATCTTATTTTAATCAGCAGAATTTGTTGGTTATATTTTGGGGTGAATATCTGGAGCTGTGTAATTATATAATTGTTGGTTTGAGCAGAATTACAGAAAAAAAATGCATCGGCATCTACAATACAATGGCAGAAAATCCCCCTGTGATTACACGGATCAAACATGGACTGCAATACCTCCCTGTGGGTCTCTGGATGTAAGTGGACATGTATTTGCCTATAGCCACACACTTCTAGGTCCGTTTGGGTTCGTCGGACCGAACGGAAAAAGTTTGCATCCAGGTCCATTAATACTGAGCGGATGTGGGCGTCTGTATAAGTCAGGGGTCAGCAACCTTAAACACTCAAAGAGCCATTTGGGCCCGTTTCCCACAGAAAAGAAAACACCGGGAGCCACAAAACCCTTTTGACATCTAAAATGAAGATAACATTATATATATCGGTTTTTTACCTTTATTCTATGTATAGCATGTATATAGGTATGTGGGCTTAGTAACGCACTGGGCTTACCTGAGACCCCGCAGAGCCCACCTGAGAGTGACCCTGCAGAGCACACTATAGATCCTGCACAGCCCATCTGAGACTCTCTATGGTGGGCTCTGCAGGGCCTCAGGTGGGCTGGTCGCCGGGGTCCCTTTCCCTGTACCTCCTCCCAACTACTCTTACCTGATGCTGCTGGGACCTGGCCTCCTCCACCCCCTCCCCTGTCACCTCTGCCATGCCGCCCGTGGTACAGCTGATTCTCTAATACTTATGTAAGAGGCTGCCCAGACCCCTCACATGAGCACCGGCTGTACCCCCATGATGACGGTGTTCTATCAGAGTTTGTGACTACAATACAATGTGTGACCGGTGACGTGGTCTCAGATTTCAAAGTTATACCGCCCAGATTTGTGGGCGGTGGAATGTGTGACCGCCAATAGGTCAAGCATTCCAACGCATTCTCAGCTGTTCTAGGGCAGATCGGCATTGCAAATCGTTTGTGCAGGAGAATTGATCTGCCATGGAACAGCTGTTCGGTCCTGAAATGTCACTTCTATCTGACTTTGTGAGTGCAATCTCACATTCCACCCCACTCACAAGTCGGGTAGAAGTGACATGACAGGGAGCCGCAGCAGAGGGATGAAAGAGCCACATGCGGCTCCGGAGCCACGGGTTGCTGACCCCTGGTATAGGTGGTCATCTGTTTACATCTGGCCACCCTTTGTGATTACATGGGTCTGTTTTTCTTCCAAGATGGAGGGGGGAGAAATTGAACAGACATGATTGTCAGATATGTGATCTCCATTCTGATGCAAGATGGATCCCTTGCTGAGCTGGAGTGGACAGCATCCATGTGAATGGACCTTGAGGGTTTGTTTACACCAAATCCGGACCAGATCTGCACGAGTTTCTGCATATGCAGTGCAGTTCGTTTCAAAGCGTTCCGGGCCATTTTTTTAAAAAAACTAAATTTTTATGTCTTTTTTTTTTTTTTTTTTAGTCTAAAATGGGCTTTCAGTGTGTTCCATGGTGTTTGCATGTGTTGTGATACATTTGCCTGCGTTCCAGAGCAGAAAAAATAGGGCATGCTGCAGTTTTTCCACATGCTCTGGAATTGAACGCTGTGCTGTGAACTAGAGCCCAAAATAACATTGGAATACATTGGATGCATTTTTGATGTGTTGTGTAACTGCTCTGCACTTGGTGTGAACAAGCCCTTAGAAAGCACTTTGATACACTTTTGTGCTCTTTGCATTTGTGTCATTGTCATGGGATTGTAGACCCCACGGCACCCACAAACCTATAAAAAACCCATTAAAAAATATATAACAAAATAAATGGAGACTATACAACGGTATTAGTGGAAAATATTGGCTGCGGCCCTTTATTGGGGTTAAAAGCAAAATATATATTATTTATTTAAATTCAACAACACTCTTTAAACTTCAACCATAAAATATATACACACAAACTTTTAAAAACAGTTAGAACTTCAAACATAAATTAGCTCAGTCACCCAGACTCGAGCCATATTCATCACACCAGTCCAATATAACCTTAAACACTGTCCACCCACATATGTGGGCGACAATACCCCCCAAAAAGGGGTAAGTTGTGTTGAAGATCATTGCTGCTGAGGAGAGCTTCTGACTGAAAACATTTAAAGGTGAGTCCAACAGCTGATTGGATGTTTATTTTTCCCTCCAAAACTAGGTAACTAATCACAACCACCTTATTCCTGAGATCTTCCTAGTGACAGCAATCTCCAGGCAGAATTGAAGTGACATCTAGTAAGGGTAACCTGAAACAGACGAAATGGGGAAACCAGAAACAGCCCACAGAAAGTTCTAGAAAAGCTGTACCTTACTGTGACTAAACCTATTGTTAAATTAAATTAGTAAATTAAGTGGGGGCCATTATATATGTGGCCCTAACATTATTGCTACGAATCTCTGAACACCACCTTCAAAAGGTTATATTTTTCTTTGCTTACTGCAAACATCATTACAGTAAGCATTTACAATTGTATAACATTCAGCCTTGATAACATCTGAAAGCATCTATGTGCAAATTATGTTTTACAGAAGGGCCTGTGTCTGTGGGGAACTGGAATCTGTTTTATAACCTTCCTCAGTGACTTCTGTGTATGTAAATTCCAGGCACTCCCACGTGTTATATAAGCCATGACAAGGGTGGAGCTGAGATCTATAGAACTGTGCACATTGAACTCGTTCACTCATTTCTTGTCTCTTCTGCTGCTGCTGAGGTGGGTGCTGGGTCTCCCTTCCTAATAACACAACTCCTGTATTGTCAGAGGTTGCTATGATTTATTCCAAGTATTAGGATTTTGCATGATGATTTGCTGTTTAGCCAAGAAGCATCAGGAATTAGTAGATTCATATAAAGTGCATGATCTGTATAAATGATTCAAATATTTTTTGCTGCTGTAGGAGTTTTTAGTCTGATTTGGCTTTCCCTCGCACTGTTTAATAACATTTTTCAAATGTGCTTATGCAAACTTTTGGAAAGTTATGCAACATGTTCCCTACTGCCACCTACTGGTAATTTGGGTCATGTTTTTGCTTCTCTATACATCACTAGACACATTTTAGTTTGTGAAAGCCCTGCATTTTAGTAACAATTGCCATTTTCAATACAATTCTAATTTTCACCTTTTTTATTCTTCTTATTGCTGCTGATCTCCTGCATACACTTCCTGTCTACATGCAGTGGCTCCAGCCAGGGGCCTAACTAGAAATCACAGGGCGCCATAGCAAAAGTTTGTATGGGGCCCTGTGATTTCTAGTTATGCCCCTTGCAGAGCCCACCTGAGAGTGACCCTGCAGAGCCCGCCATAGACCCTCTATGGCGGGCTCTGCAGGGTCTCAGGTGGGCTGCACATCTCTTACCTGTCAGCGCAGTCCGCCTCCGTGGTCGCCGGGCCCCGCCTCCTCTTCCATCCCCGGGCTCTGCCTCCTCTTTCATTGTCGGATCCTGTCTTCTCCTCTATCGATGGGCGCTGCCTCCTCTTACATCACTTATATGCCATAGCGGGCCCAGGCGGCCCCAGAGGGATGCCCTGGCCGGGCCCCCCTCTGTGCCCGGGCCCCATAGCGGCCGCCTGGGTCGCTATGGCGATTGTTACGCCACTGGCTCCAGCATCAGCTGCACATCATTGTGTGACCATGGCTGCGCAATGTTTGCTGGCACAGCCACTTGTAGTCTCCGTCAGGGGCCTGTGTGGCACGGTGACAATGCACAACTGGGAGAAAGTTGTCACCCTATAACAGGAAGTGCCTGAACAAGGACCTTCATAGTAGGATTGTCAAGTATTATTTTAATCAAAGTTAAACAGCTCTTTGAAATTACACTTCTGTGTTAAAGCTTTTGTGAGACTTTAGTGAATGGGTGTAAATATACTACTAAAAAATGTGATGGAGATAAATAGGGAAGCTTCAATGGCCAACCTGAAAGTGCATACTGTGCGGCTGTCATCCTTTTCATTCATTCACGACCCTATAAGCTGCTGACTTAGAATAGTATGTGCATATCGGACACCTCAGCTTTTCTGGCTGTGTCCTTGCCATTATATACTCAATAAAAAATAAATAAAACTTCACAAATGACAGCACAGTTCCCCTTAAAGCTATTATGGCAGAAGACATGCAGATCATTATTTTATACTTGTCATGAAATACATAACAATTACTCTTATTAATTGCAGCCTGACACAGTTTATAGTTACTGCCGCGCAGATCTTTCTTCAGATATATGGCCCATTTCTATTGTCTTTTTTGATTTCTGTGTCTATGAAATGGAATAGCAAGAGCTATGAAACTGCACTGCCTTTAGCTGAGCAGACCCAGTGATGTGCAATGCATGCTGGGGAACTGCTTCAATCCAAAACCTGCATGTGAGAAGCACAGTGAACGTGTTCTGTTTCAGTAAATTGACTGTTTACATTCTTAGGATTGTCCACAGTTAATGATAATGCCAATTATATATAGACATGCAAAAAGATCATAGAGTTCAGGGGCGTCCCGAGGTCTGGTATCACCCGGAGCAGAGACCGGGTGACACCCGCCGTGACGTTATCTTATTGACGCCTGTCGGCGGCCATCTTAGTGATGGACGCCGGCAGAAAGAGGAGGGGACGTTCACCTGGCGGGATGAGGTATGCCGCCAGGTCCCCTCCTCTCTCCTGACACTGTTGGGCTCTTGGTCCATGACCAAGTGCCCAACTTTTTAGAGGGGGGTGACACCAAAATGACTGTCAGTCATTTTGGTGTCAACCCTCCAATGGTGGCACCCGGGTGCAGGCCGCACCCCCCTTGTGACGCCACTGATAGTTAAAGCACGCAAAAGGCTAGGGATGCCACCAGTCCGGTTTTCACCCAGGCAGTCCGGTTTTGGACTCGTGTCCGGATGTCCAGCCAGAGGACACAAGACACTCAGTGCCGACACTGGCACTCTAAATTTTCTGACAGATGCGGCTGCCGACATGCAAAAAGGTCAGTACAGAAACATTATAGAGTTAAAGCACACATAGGTATAATCTCTTGTTTCTGCTTTAACCAACAATCAGATGAGTGTCTGAAGAACAGTTGACTCTAACTTTCCATTGGAGTATGATAGAAATAAGGGGAGAATCTTCCACAGACAAAAAAAAGTTCCTTTCAAGTAGAAGGGTCATATTTACATTGACTGCATTTGATATTTCTATTTAGGAACTGGGAGAATAATGGCCCCTTCCTGGCTCCCAGCTGTGGGGTTCACCATCCTTCCATCGGTGGGAAGTGCAATTTTTGGGATCGGAACTGATGGCCAGATAAAAACTTGGTATGCCACCCTTCGAAAGCCAAGATGGTGTCCTCCTGACTGGGTGTTCCCCCCAGTGTGGGCAACTCTATACACGTCAATGGGGTAAGATATGTTGGTAGGCTAACTTGTTAGCCGTCATTTGTGGGAGGGATTCGCGCGCCCCACGGCGCTTAAAAGAGGGCAGGCGGATGCTACAGGGACGTGCGGGTCTTGAGTGAACCACATCGTGACGTCTTCGTCTAGCGGCGAAACTTCGTGCACTTCCGGGTCAGCGTGTCTACCAACATACACGCTTCGCTCAATGACCTGGCCAATACGGTACACGATCTGCAGTATAGAACAGAGACCTTAGAGAGGCAGGCTCCTGCGGTCCCGGAGCCCCCGACGCAAGACGTGGCCAGTACCACCTCGGTTATGCCGGGTACTTCCAATGCACTGATGCCCGCCAGCGCAGGTACGGTGATCAGTGCCCCTAACATCACCCCAGCACATTTTGTACCAGCCAATTTGAAAAAAGACATATTAGAGGGGAAAGACGTAAATCTGGCTTCCCTTCTGATAGCGGCGCATGATGTGACCGACCACAAGGCATTTGCCTGTGAGGAAGTCTCTGTTATCCTCAAAGCAAGGGACCCCAGGTTGAGTCGTAAATTGACTATACCAGAATTTGTGTTAGCATTTGGGGTGTTCAGAGACGTGGTATGCTCAGTAAGTCCCAATCGTAGGGAGGAGCTTGACTCGTATCTACACATAGTCATAAACTTAGCCTACAAGTATGGAGGCTTTACGTACTACGATTACCACCGGGCGTTTTCGGCAAAGGCTGCAGCTGGGCTTTCTCAGTTTTATCTCTCTATATATATATATATATATATATATATATATATATATATATATATATATATACATACATACATACATATATACACACACACACATATGTTGTATGTTGTTTCAGGTTTCCATTTCTGGAAAACAGGTAAGTGAATGCCTTACACAAATGTACCAATTCCAGTCCCCAGGGACTGCTAAGCCATTAGTGAAATATCACTGTGCCTCTTTTTTTTTTTTAACTGTCAGTCCCCCGATCACTCATATATCAGTTGTTTGGTAGATGCCGGAAAGCTAACCCCCGGACAGTCTCATATCTCTCAAGGTCTCGCTCAATGAGATCTTTGCATATGAGGCTTTGCAGACCTGATGTGCCCATTATGAGAGGCTCCCCTCATATTTTATAGTCAGTAATTACTGTATGTCAGGGAGATCACATAGTTGGAGCATTGAAGGCATATAAGAAGCCAACAGCTGACTCCACCTGTCCACCAGAATCCGCCTATAAACCAAATATCATTTCTGGTCAGTCTTTTTAGTCTAAGATTGAAGCACACTTAGGAAGCAAGTAAATCAGTCCATCAAATGCAGAATCCTTACTGTACAGTGATAGAAAAGTCCCCTAAAGGACCCTGTGCAGGCAGATTGAGCAGGGTTTTGGGACTGCCACTAACTGGAACTACAGCCTCTTGTTACCCCTTGCTAAAAAAAAAAGCTAGGTTCCCCATTTGGATGTCCCGGTGTATAGACTAAGGATCTGTTACCATTAAGCTGTATGACTATCCTCTCTCTTTTAGCTATGGATCATACCTGGTTTGGAAAGAATTGGGAGGATTTACTAAGGATGCAGTGGTACCCCTAGGACTGTATGCTACACAACTAGCACTGAACTGGACATGGAGTCAAGTGTTCTTTGGCGCCCACAAAATCAAATTGGTAATTATAATAAAACCAACAATTGTAAAATGTTGTGATACAGCAGAGCAACATGAAGCCAACTGTTCTTATATGGTAAAAGGCTTCTTCAATTCTAAGGGCTTGTTCACACCGAAAGCGTGGGTGTTCCAGAGCGGTAGCTGCTGGAACGCACCGCGATCGCTAAGAAACTTCCCCCCGCGTTCTGGGGCGGGATGGGGCGTGGCGTTGCATTGAATTCAATGGCACCGCTTCAACGCAGTGAGATCGGACGCGTGGCAAAACATTGCCAGCGTTCCGTTCCATTGCAAGCGCAAAAAATAGAGCAAGCCATATTTTTTGCGTTTGCAGTGCAGTGCAGTTTTGCCACGCGTCCGATCACACTGCGGGCGGGGGGGCGTGGAAGCAGTGCCATTGAATTCAATGCACCGCCACGCCCCCTCCCGCCCCAGAACGCGCGGGGGGGAGTTTCTTAGCGATTGCGGTGCGTTGCAGCAACTACCGCTCTGGAACGCACACGCTTTCAGTGTGAACAAGCCCTAAGATTCCCCTCCATAAAGCAACTGCATATACTCAGATTCGAGCTAGGCTGAAGGGAAGCCCTACATTTGGCATTCCAATATGGAGTCCAGCAACATCCACCAGGACCTTTTTATTGTTGTAAAAAGTGGTGTGAGCTGGGATACAAAATATAAACATATATTTGACTTGCACTCCACAGGCTGTTAAAGGAGAAGTATTGGGAGAGTAAAATATACTATCCCTAATACTTAAGCTGACCATGCACTGTTAATTTTTTTTTCTTTAACCCAAAAGCTGAACGAAAAAAAAAATAGACAAGGCTTACAAGCGTTGATGGAGGAATCCCTGCTGTTATCTTCGTATTGTCAGAATACCCAAAGTCAGCAGGTCATCGGCTGCTATCTCTGTTCCCTTGAAATTTTCCAACCAGCTCCTTTGATCAGCTGATCGAGGAATGCCGGTCAAAAGGGTGCCAATTGTGGCACCCGCTGTGCAAATTTCAGGCCAGTTCATCAAGAACTGTCCGGAATTAACATATTGTATGGCCTGCTTTATTAATTTATACATCGTCAGGATCCTTCCCAATTGCAGTGCCATTTGCTCCATCAGCAAATACATTTCCCCGCCCGCTACCTGCTGACTATGGGTGACATGAGTACATTAATAAGTATACTCCAGTGACCCATAAGAGAAGGAACGCCAAAAAAGCATTGGCTTTACCTCTCCCTTAAAAAAACAAAAACATATATATATTTGGGGTGGTTAATATCCAAAGGATGATTTATTTATTTTTGTATTATTCTAGTAGTAAAACCTTTCCATATCCTTAATTCTTCAATTCCAGGCATTCATTGAAATTATTTTATTGACCGGATCAGTCATTGCTACAACCGTGGCCTGGTACCCGATCAACAGAACTGCGGCTTATTTGATGTTCCCTAGTATTGCCTGGCTTACACTAGCAACAGCCTTGAGCTATCGCATCTGGAAGGACAATCCTAACTACAAGGAGGACTAAGACTTGGTTTAAATGTTTTGCTACTGTAATGCAACGCAGGAACCAGACCCTGAGCAGCAAAGGAGGAAGCATTGTATGTGTAATGGGGTGGCTACACTTACTATGGAAGAAATAATACTATATGTGGGTGGTGGGGGATAATCAACCTTGGGGGAACAATTGCCTCCTAGAGACACAACTGCTGTAATGACCACAAAACCTCACACAGACTACTGCACTGAAATACAGATGTAAAACTAGTGGGATTTTCTGTACTCATTCTAAAATTATTTTGTTGGAGTCCATTAAATAAAACAGGAATTAACATACAGTTGAGTTATACTGCTGCCTAAAGGAGGATTGGGTACTGGCAAACAGAAAAATCATAACACAGCCGTCAGTGTAATCCCTTCTCTACCCAGCATGCCTGTAGAAAAAAAGCATGAACAAAAATACATGGAAACGGTACCCGTGTCCCTCAATGGAGTCAAAGGAATGGATTTTACAAGATGTACAAAGAATCCCATTTTTCTTCACTTCATTGAGAGACGCGGGAATTCAGATACAGTTGGGACATGCAAAAGCATGTTGAGTGGGCAACATAGTAAAAAAAAAAAATACTATTAGACCTTACTAGTTGGGCTGAGGGCCGCCTGAAGGACCAAAGCCTTAATCTGAATGGATGAGCCAGGGCTCATATCTCTAAGCCTGATGAAGGGGACCCTGCGAGGCCCCGAAAGCACTTGCCAATGAGATACAGCTATTGGCAATAAAATATTTTTCTTTTTCATCTTATGGTGTGCTGGTGACATTTTTTCTATTGTACAAGGGTAGCCAAGACTGAAAATTAGCCCTCAGCCCCAGATTGGTGAGATGGGGACCACCAATGGACAGAGGATGAATATTAAGACAACCTAACACCCCTAAGAGACACCGGGGCCTTCAGAGGAACGCTGCGGACCTTGCCTAACCCTAACCACAGCCATTCTTCTAGGCAGCGCCTGTTTGCCCCCAAGCCCAGGGAAACATCGACATCTGTGGAGCAAGGGCCAGAAATTGTTGCGGAAATGCTAAGAGCATTTACCTGATTAAGGCAATGTATCTGGAGGGAGGACCTTCCCCAGGATGCTACTGATTAATCACACAGGTAAGACCAGTCTTTTGATAAACAGGCCCCACAAAGACTTCTGGATATACTTTGTGCCTAACAGAAAAAAAAGTCAAGCACTAAAATAGGTTTAACTTTTCTCAGCAGAACTAGAGAAAATAAATCTGAAATTTATTCAGAAGAGTCAATGCTCTACCACAGCCCCCTCCCTCCAGCTACAACCATCTCCTCTAGAGCCTTGGTTCTCAACTAGTGGGTCGTGACCCCGTATTCAGTGGGTCACCGCATGTCTTCCACTGCAGTAGGTGAGAGGCTCCTCGGCCTCCCCCTAGCGCAGCACTGTTTCACACCAAGCAGCCATTCAAAATATGCTGCCCGATGCCGAGTGTCAGATTGAGGTGGGGTGGGGTTATTGCCGCAGGGGAGCTCCATCTATACGTGCATTGCTTGCAGCTCCCTCGTGTGCCCTGTAGAAGTGCCTGGACTGACGTCACATTTTGGCTCCCGGCACCTCTACAGGGCACACAAGGAAGCGGTGCAAGCAATGCACATATGGATGGAGCTCCATCACAGCCCAGCAGCCCACACTGGACCCCAGGCTGAGGATCCACTCCAGTGAATAACACACCTTACTATGCAATTGCGCATCCTGGTTTGGGAGGTATGTTGCATTGCCATTCATTTGAATGGCACCACCAAACACACCGCCCACCCACAGTACGATCGACTGCACCAAAACGCACAGTACCGCAATGCTGTGCGTTCCAGTGCAGAGCAACTTGGGTCACGACTTAATGACCAAGGACAAATGTGGGTCCTGAGGTTACATAGGTTGAGAACCACTGCTCTAGAGGGTCTAGCTCCTCCAGCACTCACCTCTCTACATAACCTTATATGCAGCTGTAGGGGAAGAAGCAGTACTACAGAGTGTCACATACATGACAGCTCTAAGTCTGCTGGGGCTGTGGACATCATATACAAGACGCAGTTGCCCAGCAGAAGTCTCAGGACATCTACACAGATGTGACTTTTACAGGTAAATAAACATAATCCAATGGGAAGATTGTGGTTACTGAAATGAAGAATCTGGTGACAGGGTCTCTTTAAAGAAAACTATGCTAAAAGCAGCATACGTGATTGTTGAGTATTGAAGCCGGACACAGCCAAGGCAATCAGCATTTTCAGGAGGTCAGCACAGGTCGGTTCCAAATTTCTCATTACATGCAATAAATATATATGTCGGCACAATAAAGGAAGACAGTATTTATTTTTTCCAAAACGGAATCAGCAAGAAAACTGAAGTCAAATACATAGAGGTGATGCCGAACAGTTTTCCCTTAAACACCCCAACATTAAACAGCGTGAAATGCTCAACATTATGCTTCACCTCAGCTCTTTGTAACAAACGTTCTCCATGTTGTAGAAAGGGGTTGGCATCTGCATCCTGATTACATAAAGCGAAAGCCATGCTCCTCGCCATTGCAGCAGTTCTGATACCGTAATGAATCACATTTCAGGAAGTAGAGAACAAGATGGCTTCTGAATGGTTGCTATGGTTAGCACTCTTTGCTCCCTGCCTTGTTTTTGGAAGATGGTCATTTGCATTGCCCAAGATGTTCTTTCCTGCATCCTCCCATAGTGAGGAAGAATGAAAAAAACATTCTGTTGTCCAATCATCCCTCAAACACATTAAATCTTAGCAGGCTGGGGACCCCTCTTAGAACCACACATTGCTTTTATCTTTGTATACCTTGTATAGGTCTTTGGTCTGGGCATGTAAAGCCACAGGTCCTCACCCATAAGCCCAGAGTGTTTGATGACCAACCTATAGGGGGGTCACCCTTGCTTCTTTGCACTCACAGAGTAGGCTGAATGACAGCGGGCATCAACCAGTAGAGCAGTATTAGATTGCAGAGCAATGAGTGTACAGCATACAGTGTCGGGAACTGGGTGAAAATTGCAGTGAGAGCGTTCTTTTATTTTTTTAGGCTCTTGCAGGCCAATTCATATTTAACAAATGGCCGGACTTTTAGCTTCACATTACCTTTTGATTAAAAAGATTATTGGACAAACCAGAGCAAACGGCCAACCATGGTTTCAAAGATTTATCCCTCTTCTAGCATTCAATAAAACATGAGTGTGATCAAAATTGATCAGAAGTAAGCTGGTATTGCTGTTCTGTCAATGTATTTTGCCTGCACTTCATTGATTGGCTGTCCTGACCAAGGAAAAAAGTATGAAATTCTGAACAGCAGATTGTTGTGGATAATTCAACAATTTTTATTTTTGACTGGAAGTAGATAAAAACAAATGCCATGATAAGGCCAGCATTAGTTGAACCCCTCAACAACCAACTTCATTTATACCCTACCATGCAAGGTGCTAATGGAATAATCTTGAAAGAAGTCTGAATGGTGGCACTGAGTCAGGCACTCAGGCAGATTGGTGGCACTGGGCAATACAAACACGATTAGCACTTTGCTCCTAGAGGATAGAAAATGGAAGTAGCCATTGCGAACTTATTTTTGAAGGTGTAGGTCCACCCTGATCCTGGCTTCACTACTTCAGTCACTGACCTGGAACAAGCATGCAGTTCTTGAAGCCTAAACTCCCACCAACGGCCATATAAGTAGCGCAACCACAGCAAGACCATTAAAGTAGAGGTGCAAGATTGGTATAAAAAGGCCGTCCCTATCCTTTTTAAAATAAAAGTCCGATCTCAGATCTAGAAGTGACTGTACATTGCCCCGACCGAGCAATTACAGGTGAAACTCGAATAATTAGAATATCGTGCAAAAGTAATTGCAGTAAGTGCTGCAAAAGGGGCCCAAACCAAGTACTGAGTACATATGCATGCTTGTACTTTTCAGAGGTCCGATATTGTTCTATGTACAATCCTTGTTTTATTGATTGCATGCAATAATCTACTTTTTTGAGGTTGTGGATTTGGGGTTCTTGGGGTTTTCTTGAGCTGTAAGCCATAATCTTCACAATTATGACAAATCACGGCTTGAACTATCTTGCTTTGCATGTAATGAGTCTATCTCATATATTAGTTTCACCTTTTAAGTTGCCTTAGTGAAATAAATGAACTTTGCACGATATTCTAATTAATCGAGTTTCACCTGTATATAGGTTCTATTTAAAAAAACAAGTGGAACCAGAGTCCTCTTTAAATTTGGAGCATGCACCCTGCAACTCCATAGTGTGTAATTGGTTCTGGTCTGCCCCAAAACAAAGAGATGGTAATGTAATATAGCCTAGGGTTCCACAGGGTGCATGGGACACATTGAAGGGATGGAGTCTGCTCTCATGCTGCGATGGAACCCCAATGGCTGCCTAGTCAGAGCAATAAGTCGCCTGTAGATTCCATTTAAGGTTAAAGCAATCTTGCACTCAGTAAGCTCTCAATTACTCATTTAAATCAATTGTATTCTTCCCGCTATTATTGCCAAATACAAGTGAGCATGCACTACAGTATAGTGTGTGATCTCTTCTGTGACCTTCTATCCTCGCCAACAGGCAGATGAGACCGCTAACCCAATCTGTAGCACCCCACAAACCAACTTACAACTGTTTCAAGACACAGAGAGAAGCCAGAGAAATATTTAGATGAATAAAAATCCCCCTCAGATTTCTACAGAAAAGATATTATTGAAGTATCACTGACGTAGCAGAATAATGTTGGGCAAGAATAGAGTTAATTGCAGAGATATCCTCAGGCTGAAATCTAGCTTGGAGCTTGTATAGGTATACACACCATGGCCTACAAGCAGAGCTAGGGCAGCCTGTATACAGATATTGCTGGTTGTATAAAGTCTAGGAAGCTCTCTATAAACAGCTCGTGGTTTAGCATTAAAGGATGGCAGTCACGTGACAGTTTTGCGGTTCATCCAGGAACAGAGTGCTGAAGATATCGTTGAAGAAAGTCGGGTGGTATTTGCAGGCTCGAGCACAGTCTGGATTGAAGTTTACTTCTAAAATCTGAGGCTGCATAACTCTTTTACCTGGAGACGAGAAAGGGAGGTCAACAATTATTTCTATAACTGGTAATGAAGTGCTGGCTTAGTTTGTCCCAGATGTACAAAAACATTTCTTTATAAAGTGTATTCATATGCGGACCCCCAGCACACACACACGCCAATGAAGCTAAAGCGGATAGGTTATCATAAGCAAACAAAATCAACAAAGTTTACAGTATGCTTGTTAAGATCCAACTCTGGCCTCCCCACCTAGTGGCCCCAATGTTGCCCCCCGCAGTCCTCAATGATGCAGAGAGCAACGCTGCCAGAATTACATCAGCAATGGTAACAGCATCATTCTATATCTGTTCAGGGGACCATAGTGGCAGCATGAACTGACAGGAAGAGAACTGGCACTGGACCTCCAACCAAGCGAGTCTGCAGGGATCAGCACTGGAGAGGAGGGGAGTATTGCATTCAGAACTGGTTTTATGGGAAAGTGGGTTTTATGCTCTTATGGGAAACAAAAAAAATCGACTCACACCAGGCGAAATAAGCCTTCCATGCGCGGTGGTAAATCCTACGCGACACAGGCTTGCGAGCCCGCAACATCGTAGAGATGACCGCATCCGAGAGACCACGATCTCTCAACACCTGGCTCTCAACAGCCACGCCGTCAAAGCCAGAAACGGTAAAGACGGTCACGAACCGACCGACCTGCCGATTGAGGCGAGACGTGTCGCAGCCGACCCGCCGGAGCAGGCCTGCATGCGAACGTCGGTCGTCCAGGGGAGACTCCAAGGATCCAGGACATCCAGCCTTTCGCCCGGACAACACTTGCTAGAAGATTCTACTGAAAAAAGCAGGAAGAAGCAGGTAAGAATACCCGAGAAAAAATTCTTAGCTCCTTACTCCTGACGCTAGGCAAAAAACCGGAGACTTGTCAGCAGGTGGGGGGTTTGGCCACCAGCAGGGGCCGCCCCTAGGCTGTAATTGGTCTTTAGTTTTTTGTGCCTAGCGTCCTTCTCCTGCAGGTGGCGATATTACCCTACAGTACATGATCTCCGATCTGTTCCCTGTGTCCTTCAATGAACGGGAGAGAAAAGGGATTTATTTCCAATGTGGATAGAGTAGGGAATGGCTGAAAAGCTCGTAAGGGCTCATTCATAACAGCTCCGAGCTGCCTGCAGGGCCGTATCAGGCAGCTCCCGGGAAGGACAGGTGCTGCGTGTAATTAGTATGCAGCCCCCGTCCTTCCGTAAGCTCCCCTATGCTCACCTCAAGTGCAGGTCTGTAGGGGTGCGTGTTTCCTGGCTCGAACCATCCCGTCAGTGTATAGTCCCATAGAGAAGGGCGGGGGGCTGCATACTAAATGACACGCAGCACCTGTCCTTTCCGGGAGCTGCTTGGTACGGCCTTGCACGCAGCACGGAGCTGTATGTGCGGGCCAATTCCAGTGTGGATGAGCACTTAAGGTTATTCTCACTATAATTCCATGGAGAATATTTCACTTAACTTCTTTGTCACTGTTACACGCCACCCAACTTTCATAATTGGCCGGGAAGACTGCACCATGCATGGAGCCGGCTTCCTGGCCAATCAGGAAGCTGGGCAATGTGTAAATGACTTGCCGCCCAGCTTCCTGATTGGTTGGGAAGCTGGCCAATCAGGAAGTTCGGCAGCGAGCCCCCCAGCTTCCTAATTGACCAGAAAGTCGGATCCATGCTTCGTCACCTGGTGACAAGGTAGCGTGGAGGCGGCTTCCCGGGCCAATCAGAAAGCCGGGCGCTGTGTAATGATTCGCCGTTATCGGTGTATCCCTAGTTCTAATCTTTCCCAACTGTACAAAAACAAAACGTTTTGGGTGGAGTTGCAATTTAATCCTCAAACAACAAAACATTACAATACAAATTTTCCCCGGGAGCTGCTATTATGGAGCATCTTAGTGTAAAGTAAAATGACATCTATACCTTCCTGGTTAGTCTCCCACTTTAGCATCAAGTCAATAGCGTAGATTGCACGAGACAACGGGTAGTCGCAGATGCCAAGCGGGGCGGGTTTGGAGCACGCAGCTTGGAAAAGCTCCCCAAAGGTTTTAAATATTTCATCCTAAAAAGGTGGAAAACAAATATGCCGTCAACTCTAAGCAAATGTACATCGTCTGCTTTTACCAAGCAATGGGACTTTGCTGGACTTCTGTCTAGGTGCATAGAAAAACATGGGTCTTTACTGCCACCTGCTGGTAAACTTTGGTACTGCAGGGGGGCTCTTGCGGTGAAAAACCCCTCCCCATGGGCAAAAGCTAAACCTTTCTGCCTCAACTTTAGGGGGAGGGGGACCTTGCGTCTATTGAGGTAGCCTTACCAACTTAAAATCAAACATTTTAAATGCCTACCAATGAAGTTTTCCCTTTCTTATAACGACTTGCAATGTCCCTCTGAACTCGTTAGTGAATTCATGCTCCCGAAATTGTCAATTCCCTAGCACAGCTCCCTCCATTCTTGTACATCAAAGTCCTTCCCTCTTCTGAAGTGTCTAATTATTGTTTGGACTGGCCCAGCTCCTCTGCCCTATCCCTTACCTCCCTTTTATGTAGTTGTCAGGGGAGGAGTGAAGGAGAATACAATAGTGTCAATTCTGAGTCTGCTGGGGCAGTCAGTCTGCACATCCAAGACGGTGGCACCCAGCAGAAGTCTCAGGACTTTTGTATGTCTACACAAGGGAGACTTTTACATGAATAGAATACGTCAAATGATATGATGGGAATTTTTTTGATAAAATAGTCTGGCGACAGGGTCTCTTTAGATATTTATACAAGGTGATCATATTCCCTACAACTTTTGAAGGGTGAATACATTTAAGTTCAGTTAATCTTTCCTCAGAGCGGAGGTCCTTCATGTTCATTAATTTAGTGGCCCTTTCCAGTTCCATGATGTCCTTTTTGTGAACTGCAACCCAAATCTGAACTATGTACTCTAAACCTGTTGGACATCTCAGGTCTATGGTTCATTTACACAGCTACGTACGTACCTGTATAGGTTTCCAGGGATAGTCAGGATACTGCTTCTCAAACAAGGTGATGAATTCATCACAATGGATCTAAAAGACAAGCGTTAGAATATCATATAAAAAGGTGACAACTCCCCCACCTGGTGGGCTCCCTGTCTTTGGCTACAGGATCCCACTTACCTGCTTTAGCTGTACACTTGGGGTGTAATTCATAACTGTGAAATGTTTCTCATAGTCACCTAGATCGTCAAGTGTGAACGGCCTGTTGGAAATTAGCAAAATGATGTTAAATTCTGTCTGGAATTGCTTGACCACCATTACGTGTTGCAAGCTGAAGCATACCTTCTAAGCTCGAGACTTAGATAGGCCAGGGCAATATCACCAAGTCAAAAGTCATCATTATAGGATCATCAGACAGTGATGACGTCTTGCTGTGTCTCGGCACAGGACTGGTAATCTTTAGTGGCAATGCTTCAAGCACCAGGTAAGGTACATTATTATTATTATACAGGATTGATATAGCGCCAACAGTTTGCACAGGGCTTTACAATATAAGAAAGACATTACAGTTACAATACAATTCAAGACAAGATGGTAAGGAGGGCCCTGCCCCTGAGGGCTTACAAATCTACAAATGGAGGGGCAAGTGATACATGAGGTAATCTAAGGGGTTAATTTTAAGTTGAAGGAAATCTAAACCCCAGAACAAAAATGTAATATATTCCAGCTTACCAGTCCTTCAATGTGATGGCTGCATTTTTATCCTTTATTTGAACATGTCGATCTTGCCAGTAATGCACTTCCTGTCTCTAAGTGGCTACGCTCACGGTTGCCATCCAGGCTGGACTTCAAATATGTCTCCCTCAGTCCATCTCTATTACATAGGGATGGGGAGTTAGTAGTTTACAAAAGGAAGCTAAGTTTGTTTTATGCTTCCAGGTCATTTCACAGGTAGTGGCAAGGACATGGCAATTGTGGCAAGACCAGCAGGTATTTTCTGTTCTTGTTGAAAATGTTCTCAACCTGAAAATATAAAACTACCACTGCCACAACACCAAAAGCACTGGTAAGCAGCCATTAACGGTATTAGAAATTTTGTTCTTGGGTTATTTATCTTTTAGGGCTTATGATAGGGGTTATATCAACAGTAGAGTCAAGGGCTACAGGGTTAAAGGGGAACTATGAGGTGAGTGAAAATCAGTCATCCTCATAGTTTGAGCCGACGTGTGACAATGAAACTGTCAGACGTCTGCTCAATAGATCGGGAAGTGAGCGAACACATACCGTCGCTCGCTTCTCGATCATCTCCCTGCAGAGAGCCGTGACTGTCAGTCACCACTCCCCGCAGGGATTCCCCCCTCCTGCTCTGATCCTCCAACGCTGACTGGAGGAACGGACGGGGGAGGGTACAGCTTGCTCTGCCTCTAGATAGGCAGAGCCAGCTGTCACTCACGCAGCTGGGTGGATCTCGACAGCATTGTCATGATCCGTCCTGGCTGCGGCATTCTCAGTATACCGCCAGTTGTAGCTCACGATATACGGAGCTTTGGGTCACGGGAGGACGCTAGTATATGTCCTCCTGTGACCCATGGGGAAAAACACTTACCCCCATAGTTCTCTTTAAAGTGTCGGTGTTTATGTCATAGCTTAAACATTAGGTTGCAAGTTAATTATAATGGGTTAAATATCATGTGGTGGTTAAGAATTAAAGCCTTACTTAAGCCTCCACTGTACATTAAACAGTAATGCATCTAGGCGGGTTTTTTAAAAATATATCCAACATATTGGTGTACTGGTGCAAGGGTATTACAGTAAACTCCCCGTTATCCGTCATCAACGGGGATTGGTAGATCCTGGATAAAATGTAGTTGCTTGTGAGTTACTATTAAAATTAGGTCTAACTAATGCCATACCCCATACTACACCATACCATAACCTCTGTATTGACATCATAATAATATTGAAATGCAGTAATCAAAAGCAAATAGATACACTTAAAGACAAAACAGGTACACAATCGTTTCCATGATAATACATGCTGCAGGATCAGCAGAACAGCGCGTACACAGGGGATTCTCTTTTTCTGGTTAGATGAGAGTTTACTGTACCATGCTAGCAGCACACTGAAAATGCTGAACACTGCTCAACACAGACCACAAGCAGTTCGTGGTCCACAGTGGTCTGACGCACCCTGAACCGTGCTAAAATCAACAGAACTCTCCCTCCCTGATCCACAGCCAGGTAGATCACAGCGAAGACCTCATTTTTGAAAGTGGAAATGTGAATATCTACCGATTGGCGAAGCGCAGCCAAAACACGTCGTAGACATACAGCTTGAGCGGTTGCACTGAGCGAAGGAGGACCACATAACGGATGTCAAACTTCACCATCCCAGCATCTTCCCGATGGAAAAGCACCGGATTCTCAATGTACTTCGAAACAACCTAGGCGATTAGGAAATACAAACATTACTAAAATTTTGGTTATCGCGCCGTGTCACAATTCAAATGACAACAAATTTAAATAACATTTTTAAAAAAAATGAAATTCTAAGGGGCCGACTTTTTTCTTTTATTAGCATTGTGCTTGCTTTAGTGTTTTGTTTTCCAAAGCAGTGGTATGGCTGCAGTAACACAGTTTTGTTTGGGATCGGCGTGGTGGGTGTCTCCTGCTGCATTGGTGCGAGGTCAGAGCAATTCCAATCTTCTCTCTGTTAACTGAACCTGGTAGTGACAGGGATTTTGTCACTTCCAGTTTCAGGCTGTAATTTCTTTGGCTATCAGGGGCCAGAGAACAATCTGTGCTTCATCAGCTTCAGTTGGGCTCATAGGTCATTAGGGGCCTAATAGACCCCAATGTCTCCATAAAGAGGACCTGTCACTTCCTCTGTGCTATTATAGGGTAAAAATACACTAAAATTAAAGTGTACTCAAACACCAAATAATACCCCTACCAGGGTTATTCACAAAAGGGTGAAGAGTTTGGAGAAGGCAGGAGAAGTGACCAATCTAGGACAACATAGCTGATTTGGAAAAATTCTCCAATTCAGCTATGTTGTCCTAGATTGTTCCCTTCTCCTGCCTTCTCCAAACTTCACCCTTCTGTGACTAACACTGCAACTAGCATATTTTATTTTACAGGCCCTCTGCTTTCAGAAAATGTAGAATTGTTTTGGGGTTTGAGCAGTTTTCTAGACAAAAAAAATCTGATTTTAACATTTCTGCAAAAATGTAAAAATTGCTCCGGTAGCAAAGTGGTTAAAGTGGAACGGAACACAAAAAGTGAAGATTTCCGATGTTATTGGGAAAATTTAGAAAAGTAATTGTGCCAAATCTACCAGTGTAGATTTCTAGTGTGGGTTCTAGGGTACCGCTGCCTCTAATAGTTTCAGGAGTTTTAGTGATGTCACCACTGCATTGCTCACTGTTCTCCTTGCTGGAGGCTCTGACATGGGGAAGCAAAGCCCTGCCTTTACCAAGATGGCCGTCAGCACACAGAGACAAAGTGCAGTACAAGCATGGTAAGTGCAGTATAATCATTATACAGCGCAATGGAGAATACCACCAGCTATGGAGGACTACAAATCCCAGCAATAATACATTATATACAGCGCAATGGAGAATAATGCCAGCTACAGAGGACTACAAATCCCAGCAATAGTACATTATAGTATAATGTACTATTGCTACATTCCTCTATAGCTGCTGGTATTCTGCACTGCGCCGCTGTATAATGTACTATATTGCACACCACACTTTTTTTTTACTTCCACCGCGCCAAGCTTGCTCCGGTGATGGACTACAATCTCAATACAAACTAGTAGTCCATCACTGGAGCCTTTTTTTTTCTTTTTTATCCGATTAACCGATTAATCGAACTTAATAATCGGCCAACTAATCGATTATGAAAATAATCGTTAGCTGCAGCCCTATAAGTCAGTAATGGGGAATAGGAGCAGCTGCAGAGGCAATACTAGTGATTAGTCATTTGCCCTCTGCTTGCCTTTTTTGGGCAGAGTTCAGATCCTCTCTAAGCAGAGTTATGGGAAACAAAAGATCCAAAAATACTGAGCACGGATCACAGTGATAAAAATCACCTTAGACAATTATTACTCCACAGCAACCAGACTCTTCCATCTAACCCTGAAAGATCAGGACTGGTTGCAATGGAGCAAGAATAGTTATCTCAGGGTGACCTGGTGATATTTTGTACTCCACCAACCTTAGGTGTGCTCTCTCTCTGACGTATAATATAAGACAGGTTGGTAGTGACATGGGTGTCCAAGCTCCTGGCCAGGTTCCATGGCTTGCAGATCCAGTGATTGTCTTCCCCGCTGTAGGGACAATGACAAGCTCAGGTCATTCTAGGGGTCATACAGGCAAAATATAAAAACACTTTGGGGAGACTACTGAAGAGATGACATTTGGCGCCTGTTTTTACACAGCACACTACACGGGTCAACCACTGGTCCTATGTCCTACTAGTGACATGGAATGATAAAATGATACACAGGTCACAAGAAGAAAATGGGAAGACAACAAAACAAATAAAAAAAACAACATTACAGTCAATGAAGAGGCCAGAGTCACACAAACAGGGAGCTGCTCCAAGATCAGGTCACAAGCAGCGTGTTCATTCGGAGCTTATTTTCTTGCAGAGGTAATGATTTGATGCATCTTACCGCTGCTCACGCTGTTTAAAGTAGCTGATAAACTGCGGCAGTTCCGTCTTCAGGTTGAAAGTACGGGGAAGCCATTTTGGGCCTTCGGTGTCTCCAACCCTTCGTGAAATAGATGCCAGGCAATCCTTAACCGTCAAAAGGTTCTCACATGGGAACTGGTTCAGCAGGACGTGAGGCCTCTCTGTGCTGAATGTTCTGAGGGACACAGAACAAAATCTTAAATGACCGACACGGAGGATGGCACATAAACTGCACAGCAGATGCAGCCCACTGATGACAATTACTAAGTACCGTGTATGATAAGAGAGCGGAACTCACTTGTAATCTTTAATATGAGAAAAATTGAAGAGGATGTCCGCTTCCTTCTCCTCATTTGTGAACACGAAGCGCGGATGGTTGACAGCGTTCAGAACCTGCTGTATATCTGTGTAAACCCTACAGAGGGAAGGTTGTGACTTGTAAGCTACACTCCAGTCAAACAGCTGAACACACAGAACACATACAGGTGAAACTCGATTAGAATATCGTGCAAAGTTCATTTATTTCACTAATGCAACTTAAAAAGGTGAAACTAATATATGAGATAGACTCATTACATGCAAAGTAAGATAGTTCAAGCCGTGATTTGTCATAATTGTGATGATTATGGCTTACAGCTCATGAAAACCCCAAGAACCCCAAATCCACAACCTCAAAAAAGTAGATTATTACATGCAATCAATAAAACAAGGACTGTACATAGAACAATATCGGACCTCTGAAAAGTACAAGCATGCATATGTACTCAGTACTTGGTTTGGGCCCCTTTTGCAGCACTTACTGCAATTACTTTTGCACGATATTCTAATTATTCGAGTTTCACCTGTATATGGGAGCCAGAGGATTATTTTTATTAGCCATCCAGTTCCTAATTTACAGGTCTTGGCCCTCCCCCAGCCTGCGACTGGACCTCTCCTCCTATCAGCATGTCAATGATGAGCACATGAGCACTGCAATACAACTGATTGGCTCCTTGTGTTGCTTTTCCCTCTAACAGTCCAAGCTTTGCTGTATAAGGGATTGCAAAAAGCCAATACCTTCCTATGTCAAATTCAAGTAATTACACTGCATAAAAAATGCAATAAACATTGTATTAATAATTACAAAGCTTTATATCTGCCTGCAGTTCAGTATTCAATTTTTCACCCTTTCAAAAATGGATGCTTCCCATGTAAATGGACATTTTAAATAGATTACACCCTATTTTACAATGAGCTCAGGCTTATCACTTTACTTCCTTATCTGAGGAATACATTTGATTTTATAATTATGCACCCAAATTGGGATAACACCTATTTTATATATTTCTTACATGTTCTCATTCACATAGCAGAAAAATCTTAGTTAGCTTCTCCCTTCTATGTAATGTTAAGGAGGGAGCTGGGGAGTTATGGTACAATCAACCCTGTCTGTACTGTGCTGGCAAATATCAGATGAAAACCAGATGTGCAGGACTGTCTGTCCTAACAATGGGTTAAAGATCTCAAGGCTTGGGTGGTACATTGTATGTTAATACACTGACTTTCAGTTTGTCCCTTTTCTTCATACTGGCATCTATTGTAAGCAACAGAAACTGCCTATGGCTACCACCCGCACTGCAAGGGATAAGTGGCCATTTTGTGTATGGAGCTAAAATAACACCCAAACCATGATCCCAGCTTGCTTTTAGACCGGTCACTTCAGTCTCACTCCTCCTCCACTCCAGCGGTCTAAGGTCCTGTGAGTCATCATGTTCTATACAGTGTATAGAACATGAGGATGCAGAGGGACATTCCATCGCTCAAGCGTAGCAGAAGACAGGCTGGAGGGAGCGGTGTAGGAGCCAGCCGGGATCGCAGTTCGGGTGAGTATAAAACTTATTTTAGCACCCTAGACAAAACAAGCAATTAACCCTTGCAGTGGGGCTCCCCTGTATTGCAAGAGTTAAGTTTTGATCTGCCCAGAGTTCTGCTTTAAATTTGACTTGCGAAGGTAGAAATACACTTTAAAGTGGACTTTAAGCCTAGGCAGCCTTATTCTTCAAAGAGATCGGCTGTAAAACATCCGCCCTTACAGTAGGCATTCCATAGCTGCTCTTTTGCCCAGGTCTTCTTCTATTCCACCATGCTGTGCGTCTGTAGAGTAGGTGGTTGGCAGGGTAAACCTATCAAACTCCCGATTCTTGTAAGGCTAAGACTCATGAAACCAGCCAGTTACATACTTGAAGATTTTACTCTCGTCATGAAGTGGAGGCTCCACGGGGTGAGGCAGGGTCTCTTTATTTTCTGCAAAAATAAACTGAAATAGAACAGATATAATTATTTTGCGTATTGGAACCACAAAGAACTGTCCAGATATTGTACAAGCAGGAACAAAAATTAAGAGGACCTGTCAGACTAGAAAATGGGCTGCCACGGATGGCTTGGTGCTGCCCCATGGCGGTAAACCTGATCTTTGCTTGTCTGACAAGTATGCAGCACGTGAAGTCAGGGCTTTTAACCAGCCAAGTTGTCCCAGGTCACTGAATTTCAAACAAGGATGATGATAAAAGTGCTTGCCTTTTAAAGTGACGCTAAACGCAGGAGTTAAATCTTAAAAATGCATGCATTGCTTGCAGCAAACAATGCTGTTACATTGTTCAGACTTTGAGTTGTAGTATAGACTTGGAGTGAAATTGTGTCAGTGCATTGAGGAAGAACATCCTCTGGGCATCTTCATTAAGCAAGTTTACAAACTTCTAAATCGATATGGTTATTTAGAGTGGGGCAGAACTTATGGAAAGTCAATATAGAAATACAGATTTGTTTGTAGTTTTGGCCATAGATACCCTTTAAAGTGACTCTAAACTCAGGAGTTAAATCTTAAAGATACATTCAAGTACCCCAACTATTAACAAACGTATCTTATTTATCACTCAGCTGTAGATCCTCAAATCATCTCTGAATTGGTGCTGACACTGTCCTTCCTTCTGGAGGGTGGCTGCTTTTGTTCCCCATGGTCCCTGTGTGTGTTGTAAAGTAGCCACCGCTCCAAGCTCACTCCTGTGATGGACTACAATCTCATTACGAATTAGTAAACTAAACATGAGATTGCAGTCCATCGTAGGAGTGAGCTTGGAGCTGTAGCAAGCAAATAATCTTTTGTGAATCTGTTGCAAAGCGTCGTGGTTCAGTGCCATCACTCTGCAACAGAAGTGCTGCTACTGGCAGGAATTCCAGGTAAATAATTTGCAAAAGATTCACCAGAAAGATTTGCTTTTGCAAGGCAAAAGCCTTGCGATGGTCGTAAGGTGTATGGGCACCTTTGGGGTCTACATACACTTCAAATCAGACTGACAGTAAAAGCCGTAGTACAGGCTCACCTGATAATGAGTTTCCGCTGGCTCGGGTGTCTGGTAGTTAATGTGGGAGAGATCCTCAGGCTGCCATGGTAAAAGCAGACAGCTCCGTCTTAAGGGATCCGTCTCTCCGTAAGCGTAGTCGCGGGAAACTTCCTCTGTATTAAAAGGAAATTACTAGCAGTTTACTATATATTTTATTAGAAAAAAAAAAAACTTTTTACAATTTTAAAGTGCGTAGAATTTAACATGTACGCGTAGATTTCACACGTTTGGGGCTACTACTTTAGCCAGAACCGTGCCGCACGGATGTCGCACAGGTGTGAACTAGGTACATTGGAATGTATTGGTTTTTATGTTTAGCGCAGAAAACCGCTAATGTGTGAACTGAGCCTTAGGTAGACACAAACCTCTGCACATGAATATTTGTATTTTAATGTTTAGCCAGCAGGTGGAGCACTTGGCCCCTTTCTTCATCTTTTCTGTTGAAAAGCCTATGTACAGAGCTCAAATAGAAATCCGACAGGGGCTTTCCGCTAGGGCACTAGAAAAATCACATGTTTTTCTTTCCGTGTTGCTGTTGGAGAGTTCGCATCACTTGCTGGCAAAACATCAGCAGGACAGGAAGTGAGGGGAATCTCTCGAACAGACTGGGATGGCTGTAAAAATCCAACAGGGGTTCTAACCCTTCTGAGCTCTACTATTAAAAAAAAAACATTTTTGGGATGGACATCCACGTTAAAACAAAAATCGATAAAAAATGTTTACATTTTTATTTTTTAGAACCTGCATACAGTTTGGGTACAGAGATGCTAAACACTCACAAGCTAGACATGGCATTTCAAGTCAAAACGGTTTATGCCCCAATCAGATCTAAACATTTCACATTACAGTCATTACCTGCACTCAACATAGGACGAATGGGCTGATGAGCACATACCTCCATTACTTATGTCTCGGAGGGGCCACAGTATGGTGTAAGCCAGCTGATGGGGGATGTAGTAAAAAGGGGCCGTCACAAATGTTGGTTCATCCGAATGCTGAATTCTAGACCCAAACTCGTCCATAATGTACCAGACCGGAACCTTCTCTTCTGCAGACTGAGAAATGTAATTACAAGGACATTAAAAACAACACATACCCAATTCTTAACTCATCCAAGGAAGTTAACATATTCAAGTGAATTATTATTATTATTTTTTTACAGTCGAAGATGGTTGGGACCCAGTTTTTTGGGGGTTTTCTTTTGCCGTGTGTTCTGTCAGGAAGATTTCCCTTAACGATCTGCCCCAGATACATAGGGGGGGGTGTGTGTGTGTGTGTGTGTGTGTGTGTGTGTGTGTGTGTTAGGGGGGGGTGTGTGTGTGTGTGTGTGTGTGTGTGTGTGTGTGTGTGTGTGTGTGTGTGTGTGTGTGTGTGTGTGTGTGTGTGTCAGTGACAACTGACTTAACAATTGGCCCAAGGATTAGGCTCCTTTTAAGTAGGAGTTCAAGATGAACAGCCTCACCCACATGTAACAGGTAACTGCCAACAATAGACATGGTGCACTTCAAAAATGCAGAGTTCGAGAGTCCGAAAAGATTAGTCTAAACATCCCACAATGGAAAATGCCCTTAGAAGTAGAAGGTGCCTCCAAATTAATATGAAGGGCCAGGTGCTTGCTTAGGTAAAGAACAGCCAGAACTGGATTTAGGTGACCTTGTAGGTCAGAGGTCCCCCATTAACCACAAGGGGTTTAAAATAGCCAAAGGAAAGCGTCCCCATTTGCACAGGGGTCCCCAAGATTATTGGAACCCAGGGAGAGGAAGGTGCAATGTCCTCTGCAGTAGGACAAGAGAGCTAGTGAGGAGCAACTGAACAAGATGCCAAGGAGGAGAAAAGGGTTAGCCTGAGGGCTAAAAGATGAGTCCTCTTCAACAAATGAAGGACAGGCAAAGCTATCCGCAGACCTGTACGGATGCACAATTAGCACCCACTTGCAGAAGTGGGGGCACACCATGTATTTAGAGGTGTTAGCTGACCTTTGAAGGCCTGTAAATACCTACTGATGAAGTAGATGGGTAGGATTACTCCAATCCCTCCACAGACCTCTTGTGGTGAGGCAGGAGCACACTCTGGCCACCCGTGGCTTTAAAATTCACCTCCATTACAGGATGGAAGTCAAGACCAGTCAATTCATTTAGGACTGGTTCGCACCATGTCCAGACTAGATCTTGAGCAGATCTGCAAATGCGGTGCGGTGCGTTTTTGACGCAGTTTTGACACGTTCCTGACAATTTTTTTAGCTTAAAATGGGCTTTCAGGTGCGGTCTAATGCAGTCTGCTCTGTTTGCATGCGTTTTGATGAATTTACATGCATTTTGGTGCATTCCAAACCAGAAAAAATAGTGCATGCAGCATTTCCCCCCCTACACTGGAACAGACCTCACTGCTGTGAACAGAGCCCAGATATACCATAGGAATACATTGCGATGCATTTCAGGTGCAGACAAAAACTGTGGCATTCTGGGTAGAGGAGGGCTTATACTGAAAAAAGAAATGCTATCTAATGCTTCATGCCATGTACCCTCTAGAAGTGATAGCTCTGAACGAAAGACAGGCAGAGAGCAGCCTGGAACTGGGGGAGCAGAGAAAGGACGTATATACATCTGGGACATTATTTATATACCTCTCCTCCAATTGTGTTGGGAAAAGCCCCAAAGGGAGATAACACAATAATGAAATACATGTTGGCTAATATTGGCTATACCTTAAAAGGTGGTTCACAACAATGTGTGGAAGACAGGTACACTTCAGACAAGGTGATAACTCTGCACTATGATTATTAATTGAACCGAAAAGCCATCAGCAGGCCTTTCTTCAAAGGCATCAAGGCCACAACAAACTGTGTGTTTCTTACCCCATGAGAGAGCTGATAAGTCTGGTTATACTTCCACATCTCCGCAAGAACCTCCTCCACCACTCCTTCATCCGGGACCTCTCCGTGGAATTCGAACCCCATGAGGTTGGCCATACGGTGCAAGAGGCCAGGAACCTCCATTAGTTGTTGGCGAGCATGCTCCACACGGTAGGTCCATGCGTGGTCAATGAGGAAAATGCTGAAAGATCATAAACATTTATCAAGACCAAACAGCCCTCATACATGGCAATACTGCGTAAAACAACCCAAAAAAAACAACACCTCTTTTCATTCCACCAACGCTAGTCACACACATCTGCCCGTCTGTCAACGACATGACTAACAGCCGGATATAATAAAATTGGGAGAAGCAGCGGCCCTATGTAACTCCAGGCAAAACAGGATCTATGATGACATCATTATTCTCATCCTCTCAGCCTAGGTAAAGGCACTTGCATGGAGCGCCAGAATTGATTCTAATGAGAATTGCGTTTTAATTGTGGGGAAAAATGATACTGTTGCTCTAGACCAGGGGTCAGCAACCTTAATCACTCAAAGAGCCATTTGGACCCGTTTCCCACAGAAAAGAAAACACTGGGAGCCACAAAACCCTTTTGACATCTAAAATGAAGATAACATTGTATATATCGTTTTTTACCTTTATTCTATGTATAGCATGTATATAGGTATGTGGGCTTAGTAACGCACTGGACTCTGGGCTTAGTAACGCACTGGACTCTGGGCTTAGTAATGCACTGGACTCTGGGCTTAGTAACGGACTGGACTCTGGGCTTAGTAATGCACTCCCCCCCCCCTCATTCAGACTCACCTGCTAAGCCTCACAGCCAGCATCCCAGCCAGACGGTGTGCACTGCAGGGGGCGGGGCATGTGACACACACTCCTCTCTCGCCGCCTGTTACTACGGACACGGTCGGGAGAGGAGGTGAGTCACAAGACCCGCCCCCTTACTGAGAATCCCATCGGCAGTGCGGAGCCCCTGGACTGCAGCATATTCCATCAGTGGGGTGCCCAGGACCGTACCTCACTGGGCCCTCCCACAGCTTCAGGCCCCGAGGCCCCAGGGGTAGTTCCGCCCCTGAACAGGGAGCCATAGCAGAGGGATGAAAGAGCCACATGCGGCTCCGGAGCCGCAGGTTGCTGACCCCTGCTCTAGACTGACATGTCAGGATTTATACAGATTCATAAAATTACAGAGAAGTCCCCGTTGAAGTAATGCCCAATATAAATGTTTCTGCACTTTTAAAATATCAATGTATCTAAAGCCAAGGTAGGGAAGGGTTGAAAACCCGTCAATTCTTTGCCTGCTGTGTGTTTCGGAGAGATTTTCCGAAGTGACACTAAACTCAGGAGTTAAATCTTAAAAATAAATTCAAGTGCCTTAAAGCAGTCACCACTCCAAGCTCACACCTGTGATGGTCTATAATCTCAATACAAATTAGTAAACTGAACATGAGATTGTAGTCCATCATGGGAGTGTGCTTTACAACACGCACAGGGACCATAGGGAACAAAAGTAGTCCCCTCCAGAAGGAAGGACAGTGTCAGCACCAACTCAGAGATGATTTGAAGATCTACAGCCGAGTAATACACAAATGAGATACATTTTTGTTAAATAAATCTGTATTTCTATTTTGAATTATCCATAAGGCCTGTCCCACTCTCAATACCAATAGCCATCTAGAAGTTTGTAAACTTGCTTATTGAAGATGCCCATAGGATGGATTTTCTCAATGCAGTGACACAATTTGAACAATGTAACATCCTGTAATCTGACACTCTGAAGTGTCAGATGCTGAAGATCCACCCCCATGACTGTAGAGTGATATGAGGACATTTCGTCCCCCAGAGATGAAATATTTACAGGTCTTCATTAACAGGCAACTTTTCTTACAGTTACATTTCATTCCAATGACAGAGTACTTTTAAAAATATTCAGCAATCAAAGCAAACCTGCAACTTTGTGACTAGTGTCAGACTACAACACCCAACATCCAGATAGCCCTGATCCAAGATGTAGCAGTATGTATGTATCACCCCATATCGATTCTGATGGTACAATCCTACCACTATCAGTGAGATCAGGGCAATGCATTGTACAATCTTCTCCACCCTCATGAAGCTTTATCCCTCTTATCTGATCGTACGACCTAATCGAGACAAGAGGCAAGTTGACAACCCAGACCTCCCTCCCACAGACATGACAATGCCAGCTACTGACAGCCGATATCGGTGCCCTTCTACCAACAGCCCGGCGGTGACCAACGTATACAGCGCAACCCGAATTTCAGCACGGGGACAGCCACGCAGGCGATCCCCCGATCACAGCCCGGCTCCCCCATACCTCCCCCTCCAGCTTGTGACACAGACTCCTCCAGTACAGTCGGGGCACCCCAGAAGCGGAGAGAGCGGCTTGGTGCACAGCCACGAACTGCGAATATTTCTCATCCTGCTGATCGGAGCCCGGCTCGGCCATGCTGCCCGGACTGCGGCTCTGAGCATGCGAGGAGACACGGGGCGGGCGTGTCCCCTTTCTGCCACGCCTACTACACTCAACACCAACCTTCACAGATCTGCCACGCCCATACCCTCGCCCACAATGCTTATACAACCCTGCTTTGCCCCGCACATTATGCTCACTCTGTCCTGCTCTGCCCCTCCCACTACACTCACACTTCCCTGTTTTGCCCCGCCCACTCCACTGACTTTCCCTCCCTGTCTCATAACAGAACTGACGCTCTCTGCCCCGCCTACAACACTGACAGCTGACCCCCTGTGCTATGAAAAAACAGCTGGGACTTCCATGTGCTTCCGTCTTCCTGGCTGCTCTCTTTCCGGCTCTGATTGCCGGGACAGCAAACATTTCCCTGCCCGATCACCCTGCAGACAGCGTTTCCCCGCCAGCTCTGTGTGTCTGTAATTTCCTTTTCTATTCTGACCGATGTGTAAGTTTGTATTGTATACACAGTCATTCCACATCCTTCATGTCCATGTAACCTGTAATTCTACTTCTCTGTCCTGTCTGCATCCAGCAGTGTATACTGACACCACCCCGTTCTGTCCTGTCTGCATCCAGCAGTGTATACTGACACCACCCTGTTCTGTTCTGTCTGCATCCAGCAGTGTATACTGACACCACCCTGTTCTGTCCTGTCTGCATCCAGCAGTGTATACTGACACCACCCCGTTCTGTCCTGTCTGCATCCAGCAGTGTATACTGACACCACCCTGTTCTGTCCTGTCTGCATCCAGCAGTGTATACTGACACCACCCTGTTCTGTCCTATCTGCATCCAGCAGTGTACACTGACACCACCCTGTTCTGTCCTGTCTGCATCCAGCAGTGTATACTGACACCACCCTGTTCTGTCCTGTCTGCATCCAGCAGTGTATACTGACACCACCCTGTTCTGTCCTGTCTGCATCCAGCAGTATATACTGACACCACCCTGTTCTGTCCTATCTGCATCCAGCAGTGTACACTGACACCACCCTGTTCTGTCCTGTCTGCATCCAGCAGTGTATACTGACGCCACCCCATTCTGTCCTGTCTGCATCCAGCAGTGTATACTGACACCACCCAGTTCTGTTCTGTCTGCATCCAGCAGTGTATACTGACACCACCCTGTTCTGTTCTGTCTGCATCCAGCAGTGTATACTGTCACATGTTCAGGCATATGGAGTTAAATTGTCATAACATGGGTTCAGTCCATAGCAGTGAGACCAGAGAACAGAAGAAGATGGTCTGTGAACGGTGAAGTCAGACACAAAGGTTGAAGTATAACAATGTTCATACACAGTTGTACTCAGAAGTCTGCATCCCCTTGGAGAATTGGGAACATATGTCAGGCCTCGGATAGAAATCCGTCAGCTTCTTAGAGCCGTTGGACTTATTTTTAACTGCGGACATCTCTGGAGGTATTCCGATATCAATCGGGACTATTTCGGTAAGTGTATCGATCCTATTACCGAAGTTAGTTGCAATTTCGTCAGATCCGGCGACGCTGCTCACGGATCAAGCGGCCATATACTCGCGCGGCCAGACCACGCCCCGGAAAGACACATTCTATTATTTCTTATGGGATTCATATTCATCTGTAAGTCATCACAGAATGGCACAATCATTAAACAAAACATGGCAACATATAAAAGATGGAATGACCCCTGTGTTCTGACGTCTGCACCCCTTAGTTCCTAATACTGTGTTTTGCCCCCTTTAGCATCAATGACAGCGTGCAGTCTATGTAATAGTTGTGTATGAGGCCCTGGATTCCTGCCGGTGGTATAGCTGCCCATACGTTTAGGCAAAATGCCTCTAGGTCATGCAAAGTCTTTGGCCGTCTTGCATGTATTGCACATTGGAGATCTCTCCAGAGCGGCTCGATGATATTAGGGTCAGGAGACTGACTGTGATGGCTACTCCAGAACCTTCACCTTTTTCTGCTGTAACCACTGGAGGGTCAACGTGGCCTTGTGCTTTAGGTCATTGACATGCTGGAAAGTGCAAGAGCGTCCCATGCGCAGCTTTTGTGCGGAAGAATGCAAATTGTTTTTCATTATTTTCTGATAACATGCTGCATTCATGTTGTCATTCATGTTGTCATCAATCTTCACAAGATTCCCCGTGCCTTTAGAACTCACACCCCCCAAAACATCAGTGAGCCACCACCATGCTTCACGGTGGGCATGGTTTTCTTGTCGCTATAGGCCTTGTTGACCCCTCTCCAAACATAGGGCTTATGGTTGTTACCGTAAAGCTCTATTTTGGTCTCGTCACCGGGCTTTTTTGTGGAATTGGCGCAGTAACGGCTTCTCTCTGGCAACTTGACCATGCAGCTCATTTTTGTTCAAGTATCGTTGTATTGTGCTTCTTGAAACAACCCCACCGTCTTATTCCAGAGCGGCCAGTATTTCTCCTGAGGTCACCTGTGGGTTTTTCTTTGTATCCTGAACAATTCTTCTGGCAGTTGTGGCTGCAATCTTTCTTGGTCTACCTAACCTTGACTTGGTATCAGGAGATCCCCAAATCTTCCACTTCCTAATAAGTGATTGAACAGTACTGACTGGCATTTTCAAGGCTTTGGGTATCTCTTTATATCCTTTTCCATCATTATAAAGTTCCATTACCTTGTTACGCATGTCTTTTGACAGTTATTTTCTGCTCCCCATGGCTCAGTAACTAGCTTGCTCAGTGCATTCATGTGAGAGCTAACAAACTCATTGACTATTTATACGCAGACACTAATTGCAATTTAAAAAGTCACAGATGTGGGAAATGAACCTTTAACCCCTTCGTGACTGACGACGTACAGTGCACGTCGCCAGCATCGAGGCTGTTTAAACAGAATCGCCGCCGGGACTCTGTTTAAACTTGAAAGGCCGACTGTATTTTTGGACCCCCAGCATCACCTTAAAGAGTACCTGTCCCCACCGTCTGCTATCACATGGGGGGCTTATAAGCCACCCCATGTGATAGCAAAGTAAAGTAAAAAAAAAAAAAATTTAAATTAAAATAAAATAAATCTAATAATAATTTTAAAAAGTTAAAAGTCCCCTGGGTATTTTGTTGTTGTTTTTTGGGGCATTTAATTAAATTTTTCATTAAATGTTGGGGTTTAATAAGGAGTTGCGCTAATATTGCGCAACAAAAAATTTGCAACTACCACCATTTTATTCTATAGGGTCTTGGCATTCAGAAAATATATAATGTTTGGGGGTTTTAAGTCATTTTCAGGCCTAAAATGTGGAATATAACATGGGTGCAAAAAATGAAAAAAAGGCCTCAGTCATGAAGGGGTTAATTGCCATTTTACCCTGTGTGTGTCACTTTGTAT